TGCCCAATGGGTTGGAGGCCACAAGTGGCCCTGGGGATGGCCTGGCACACCTCGGCAGGACCTGTCTCTCTCCCTGAGATCAGAGGCAGCTGCTTGCCCTGTTATTTCTGTCCACCCAGCTAACTCCTACAGCTCCTCAGAATTCCCACCTCCAGGAGGCCTTCCTTTCCCTGCCAGATGGGCAGGCGTCCTTCCTGTGCCCTTCAGGCCTCCTGGACTCACCCATCTTCCAGTACTTTGCTCACTTGGCAGGCCTCAGGTATTTATCAGGATCTCACTACATGACAGGCAGCATGGCAGACGCTCTGGAGCTTCCTCCTCGGACACTCTGCCCTAGAAGTAGATGTGGTTATCATTCCAAATCTCAGACAAGTTAAGTCTCTTTCCCAAGATCACAGAGCTGATGGGGGTATTTTCTGAGCCCATGGTATACATGACCTTCTGATCCACTGACTTTAGATGTTTAAAGAATGAATAAGTCAATGAATGAACGCTGTGTTCCAGAGCTCTGCAAGTCTGAAAGTACTCCTGGGAATATGCCATTTGGAGCCTAACATTTTCTGAGTGTTGTTTATGTCTCAGGCTCCATGCCAGCCTCTTGGTATATTTATCTCATATAATCCTCTCAACCATGAAGCTGGTTCTATTAATTATCCCCATTTTGCAGATGAAGAAGCTAAGGCTTGGAGAGGTTAGGTCACTTGCCCAATGCCCCAGAGCCAGCAGACCACTGAGCGGCATGGCTTCAGAGCCTGTACTAATGGCCACCACTCTGCAGAGGGGACCCTGGGTCATCTCCAGCAGCTAGCGTGCTGACCAACAGTGCATGTGGGGTGGAAGTGCCCTGGAGCTCAGCCCCTGGCTGTGAAAACTGCAGTGGTGCAGCAGGAATTCCACATCAATATCACTCCTTATTGTGGCAAAGGAACTTTGAGAAGGGTTTGCCTGTCAGCCAAGGATTAGGAAATCCTAGAGTAACTGTGGGAGCTGTGTCACACTCTGCACAAGCTGAGAGCTTGGTCCTTATCTCCCTGCCTGGCTCCTGATTCCCAGCACCTCCAGACCCCACGGCAAGGACATTGTAGCCCCCACTTCCTGGCCACTCAACCCAGTCCCAGCTCATGCCCTGGGATCAGGAGGTTCTCCCACCAAGTAGTGAAGGGGCCCAAGCCAGGAACCAGGCCCTACATAGTCGCCTACTGGTCCTGCTTCAGCCATAGGCCAGAGACGCTCAACCACACCTACGTCTAGGTTGAGGATTAAATGAATTCTGCTATCTAGTTTAGGATACTGTGGGCCTTTTTCCCCATCTGCTGATCCAGCCCAATAGCACAGGTCAGGTCCACACTCGGGCAGGGCCTGCGGGAGACCTTGTGATCTGCCTCTCTCTGCATGCCCTCCCCACTGCATGAAGGCTGTGCTTCCGGCTCCTGAACTCACCATGCTCCTTCTTACTGTTTAGCCTGCTCCTGCCTCTGTCTAGACTGTGCTCACTGCCTCTCTCTGGCCCCTGAGTTCACAGCACTTCTTACTGCTGGCACAAGAACCCATCATGACGGGGTTATTGACATAACATCCTCCTGTTGCCCTCTACCCGCACCACGAGCTCCCGAGCAGGGTGTGCATCTTGCCTGGTCTTTGCACCTGCACCTGGCCCATGCCGGGCAGATGGTGGGAGGTCAGTCAGCACTGGAGGCATGAGTAACTGAGTCAATGGATGAACAAATGAAGAAAGTGTAGAGTTCTCTGCTCTCAGAAACCACTTCATTGGGTGAATACATCAGGTCCTGTTCTGAGCCCAGGAGGGAGAAGGCTTAGGGCTCTTCTCTGCCTGCAGGGCCTTCACTGTCCTGGTGGGAGGTAAGACAGGAACCTGGATGGTGATACTATAGTGCAGGCAATGATACTGATGTCAGTCGATATGACATGGTTTATCACCCAAATGGGGACCCAAATAGTGCTATGATAATTGCACTAATCCAGGGGCAGAGAGAGGGACTGTCTGAGTGACCCTGCCCATAGGGCACTCTCTTTGTGCCAGTCTCTGGGCTAAATTCTTTGCATAGATCATCTCATTGATTCTCACAACCATCTTAAGGTGTGTCTCTAATGATCCCGTGTTACAGATGAGGAAAGACAGGCTCAGAGACAGTGACCTGCCCAGGGTTACATAGCTGATAAGTTGGCAGAGCTGCATTTGAACCCAGGAAGTCACTGGGAAGCCCCAGTGCCCATGTGTTTAACCACCTGCCTTCAGCTAAGGCTGGGGCTTTCAGAAATGTCAAAGGTAGAGGGGAGCAACCTGAGGCCTAGAGCCAGACAAACCAGGAATCATATCCCCAGTCCTAGCTGTGTGACTGCAGCCAGGTCCCTGGCCTCTCTAGGCCTCAGTTTCTTCATTTGTAAAATGGGGGAGGAGCTGCTGTTTCAGATGCAGTGAGACAATAATGCAGGTAAAGTGCACTCAGCAACTGTCTGCAGAGCTTGGCCCTGGGAGCACAGTGGTGAGCACAGCGGGCAGGCACCGCCCCTCAGGAGCGGAACCAGGACATCGGGAGTATTGCAGGACATCTGGGAGAACCGAGGAGGGGAGTCAAGGATGAGTGTGCCTCAGTTGAGAAGGCACTGGGGGAAATAGAGGGAAGAGTAGGAGATATTCCAGGAAGGAGAGACAGCATGGTAAAGGCCTGCAGAGGAAGGAGTGTATAGGACATCTGGAGACTAAGGGGATTAGAAAAATATAAGGGCCCATCAGAGGCACAGAAGATTGGGAAGAGAAATCACTTCCAGGTGAGTGATCAGAAAGGCTTCCTGAGGGAGGTGGCTTTGTGCTGGGCTGGAAGTTAGTACAAGACTTTGCCCTTCAGCCATAGAGGCTGCGCATTCTAGATGGTAAGGACAGCACCAACAAAGGGGCAGAGGGCAGGCTTCTTGCACAGCAATAGCATCAAGATGAAAAGGCCACCTACAGAATAGAGCATATCTGTGTGTCATGTGTCTGATAAGGGTTAACATCCAAAGTTCATAAGGAACTCATACAACTCAATAGCAAAAAACCAACAATATGATTTTAGAATGGGCAGAGGAACTGAATAGATGTTTTTCCAAAGAGGACATACAAATGGCCAACAGGTACATGAAAAGATGTACCACTTTGCTAATCATAAGGGAAATGCAAATCAAAACCATGAGGAGATACCACCTCAAGCTGGTCATGGCTAGTATCAAAAAGACAAGAGATAACATGTGTTGGTGAGGATGTAGAGGAAAGGGAACCCTTACACACTGTTGGAATGTTGGAAATCTTGTGGCCCACATAGGGGTAGATGGGCCTCAGAGGGAAGATGAGGGAGAGGAGCAGGAGAGATTGGAACCAGGTCAGAGAGGGCACTGAACACCATACTAGGGCATCTGGACTTTGCTTGTTGGACCTTGGGGAGCCATTGAAGGTGTCTGACCAAAGGAGAATCAAGATCATGGTATGCTTTAAGGAAGATCAATAAAGAAGATGAGAAACTTTCAGACATGGAAGCTTCCATATTGTCACTTCAGAAGGAGAACAAGCACTTGAGAACTCTGTGATTTCCCAGAAGCCTGGTTACTTCCCCATGTTTGTGACTTTTATAGTTCCTTGCAGTGACTACCCATAAAGCCCCAAGCCAGAAAAGGACTTTGGAACTTCCCAAGCCTGTAAGAAGGAGAGGGATCCTATGGGGGGCATAGGAGCTGTCAGAAAAGGAGGGTCTGCGTGCCGAAGGGAGCCCAGAGAGAAGAGCAGGCGGCTAAGCTGGTGGGAGCGGAGTGTCACAGGGGACAGTCTGGCTTCTCTGGTGTCCCTGAGTCCCTGCTGGATCCTGAGAAGAGCCAAGCCTCTTCCCCAGGCCCAGGGCCCCTCATCAGGCCACTGAGGCAGCTGAGACAGATGTTAATATGAGTTATGGGAATCCATCACAGCCGGAGAAGCACCAGGACCCCACTCCAAGGAGAAGTCCTCCCCGGGAGTTCCAGGAGCCATGCCCTGAGAGGGCAGCCAGCACCAGGATCCCAGGGCCCAGTCTGCTGCCCGCTCCCCTCTGAGGCCCCCTGAGGAAGGCAGTAGCAAGGACACCAGACTGGCACCAAGAGCCTCCCTGAGTGGGACCATGGGCAGCACCTAACAGCTCTGAGCCTCAGTTTCCTCATCCAGAATTGATCCCTTGGCTTGTCTCATAGGTTCATTGTGAACATCTCATGGAACCACCAAGGGAAACACATTCTCTAAACAGTGAGGGACCAGGGCAGAGCCAGAGTAGCAAGGGGATGCTGGGCTTCCCAACAAGCAGGGTGCCATCTGGACAGGGGCTTGGGAGCCCCCTGTAGGAGCCCTGAGTGGCATCACAGGAAGGTCCCTGCACTGGCAAGTCTTCTTGGCCCTTCCAGTTACTCCAGCAGAAAGGTCTCTGCTCGGCCCACTTGTCTTCATCTTTTCTCTACCACTCGAGTGTGGCTTTTTTCAACAATCAGGAGAAGCTCCAGACTTCTTCTAGGAGGCCAGAAGAAAGCTCAAATTTAAAAATGTTGTTTGCATCTTTTTTGTGCTTGGTTTTCTTAGCTTCCCAAAAGCTCTATGACTTTGTGTGTTTTGAAAGGAACTTTTAGACTCCAGTAACAATTTAATTGTTTATTCTCCTTACTCAGCACCACTGTGTCTAGGAATTTCTCCTGTGGAAAAACTTACAAAAATGTGCAACTATAAATACATCTTATAAACAGTGCTCATTCCAGGATAATTTACAACTCTAAAACACTAAATGTCCATCAGTAAGGGATAGGTTAAATAATTTATGACTCAGGAATGCTTTTAGATTTCAGGCAACTCCCAAAATGAATGACTTAATATCTATGTACCCCTGAGTTGTGGGTGTGTCCAGTAGGAATTGTTAAAAGAAAAATAAAAAGTTGCAGAATGGTAGTGGTAGTTTTATTTAAAAATATAATTAGGCACTTAAGTAAATAGGTACAGATACAAAATACAAATATTAGTGTGGGTGTAAGGGGAGGAAAACTCTAGAAGAATATAACCAAACTCTTAACAGTAAGAGGCAGAATTTCTATAAGATAAATTCATTATACACAGAGTTGCTGAATAAAGAAAAGGAGCATTGAAAATGTTGCTGGAGTCTAAAATACAAAATACATTAAAGAGAAGACTTTCTATTTTATGTATTTGGTAATGGATTTTTAAAATACAGGCATATGTTACATAAATACTTCCAGAAAAATAGTTTTTAATTATGAAGCTGAACAATAAGCTGAAATTAGAGTCTTTTCTCCTACTTCAAAGAAGCTGCTCAGTGCAGGTGTCAGGCCCCAGGAGCAGTCGCCCTTTCCAGGCTTGGTTTCCAGGAACAAGGACGCTGCCTCTGAAGAGCGTGGTGGAAGAACTGTGTGGTCCAAGTGGCTCATGTGTCTGGGAGGAAAGTACCAGCTCATCCATTCCCTTGGGCCTGCCTGAGTGGTAAGGTGGGGAAGTGGGAGCCTGCAGAGCTGACTATGCTTCTCCCGTCTCCTGACTTCCACATCCCCTCTGCACAGGGGCCTGTGAGGTCCACCAAATTCTTTTATATTATCTTTGTGTGGCCCTGTTCACTTAGCTCTCTCACCCAGCACTTTGCTATTCTTTCTCTTGAGGACACACCGCACCAGAAAGGTTTGGAGTCAGGAGACAGGGATGGGACCCAGTCTTCCCCACTCCCAGCTGTGCAACCTTGGCAGGTGCTTTATCTCCCAAGCTCTGACGTGAGTCAGCCAGACCCAGGTGCCTGTCCCATCCCTGCCATACTGACTGGATGACCTTGGGCATGTCACTTCTAATGCCCCCTGGTTTCACTTTTGTGTATGGGACAATACTAATACCTGGTTTGAGTTGATGAGAGGGAAAAATGAGAAAATGTGTGTGAAGTAACAGGAGAGTCCCGGACACAGTAACTTCAGTAAGTGGTTGCCTGTGTTTTATCATCCTTTATCTCTTTGTGGCATCATGGAACTCCATTTACCTCTGAGGAAAGTGAGGTGGATGTGGTGTAATCCACTCAAGGTCCCCTAAGGAGCGGGCCTGAGATGGAGAGAGCCGAAGCCTCCTGACCTCCCGTCAGAGGCTTTTCCCAAGCAAGGATAATACCCTTCTGGAATGTGGGTTGTTGATTCTCTTTGCTGAGTAGATTGGATATTGACTTACTCATTTTTCACCACAGCTAGGATAGAAAGGGTCATACGCCCTGGATGTTCTCTGAAGCCAGGACCCCCGGGAGGGTGAGCTTTATGTGGCCAGGCCTGGCAGAGGGCGGGGTTTCCCTGGTGTGGCTCAGCTGCTCCTGAGTTGGCAGCCGGGCCGGTGAGTCAGAGCTGCCCCACGTCTCTGTTCCGCTCCTCACTGACAGCCACAGCCCCAGACTCCTGGAGGTAGTCCAGGGAGGCTTGCGGTTGCAAAACAAGGTGCCCATCCTCCAGAAATAAGCTGAAATTTCCTTCCCCCAGATCAGAGAGAGCAGGCAATGACCAGGTGAGGCCCGATGGATCTCAGGCTGAAACCTCTGAAAGGGCCCAGGTGGGAGAGCCAGGAAGTCCTAGGCTAGGTCCAGGACCCTTGCATTCTGCCCTTGCCCCCAACAACTCTACTGCCTCTGGGCCTATGCTGCTGCTGGGGTCTCCCAGGCCTAGTTGGGGCTGTGGAGCCTATTGCCAGGACTGAGCTGGCCAGTAGGCACCAAGATGCCTGGCTGATGCCAGCCCCACACCCCTGAGTGGCTGCAGCTGTGAGGGGCCTGGGGCCTGCCAGGTCTGCACCATTCTGCCCAGCCTGCCTAGACTCTGCCGTCAGCTACAACTGGGCCCCCAGCTCTTCTCCTGGCCTCGCCCTGGCCATACCCTACACCACACCTGCCACCCCCCACCATTCCTCTTCCTTTCCTTCCTTCACTCTCCCCTCACTTCTTTCTACTCTCTGGCCCTCTTGGGTGCCCCACCTGCCCTGCTCCCACCTGGACCCAACTAGTACTTACCAGGGACTGGAACCTGGGCTTTAGCTGATGCCTTTCATGAGCCTCAGTGTGGCCCTCTGGAAGGAATGCCAGAGGGCAGGAGATTGTCTCAGCTTAATAGCCCAAGCCGAGGCACATGGTGGGGCATGGTGGGGGCCGCAGCGGGGGCTCAGGCTCCTCAACATGAGCCTGCGAACAGTCCCGCCCATCCCAGGGCCAGGCACTGCAGCGCTGGCAGAACCTTCTCATTTCACACTGTGGAAACCTGAAGCCCAAGGTCCAGGTCAGCCAGCTACTAGCAACAGGTGGGAGAATGTGAAAATACCCATTTTACACATGGAAATAAGACAAGAGGTGAAAGGACCTGTGTGGGGATTCTGCAGATGGGGCAAGCCACATCTGCCCCACTCCACTCCTGCCACCTCCCAGGCACAGGGACCCAAATCCTCAAGAGACCATAAAGTCTGTGAGAAGCACCAGGTTTAATATTAAAATCTTTCCCTTAAGAAAAAAAAGTACACGGATAGGAAAATTTGATGGCATACAAAATAGTACTTCTTCTGTATAAATGTGAGTTAATGTGAGTCCTAAAAATACTTGTAGACCTAGATGATCATATCTTTGGTACCATAGTGAGAACCCACTCTGTCTGCAACCAGGCTTCAAGGGCCCTGGGCAGGGGGCGCCGACCAGCATCAGAGGGCTTGGGCCCCAGGAGCTGCTCTCCCCTCCCACCCTCCGAGCCCTTCCCTTGCTGGTGCTCTTAGCCACAGCCCTCACTTCCCTGGCACCTCTGGTGCCCACTGCTGGGCTGCAGCTGGCAGACACTGTGAGATGAGCAGGCCTGGGCAATGATGAAGCCATCCCCCTGAATATTGCCTCGGGGACGTGGCAACTGTCAGGTTGAGAAGGTAAACCCTGAAGTACCCAGCTCTTGTACTCCTTTCTCAGGTTCCCTAACCAAGGCTTCTTGTCCTTTCTGGGGGTCCCTGGGGACCCTCACTGTCTGTTATGCCTGCAGCACAGACCTGGACAGCAGGTGCCAGAGTGGTGGGCTGCACAAGGTAGTCTGATTTGCCCTCTCTTCCTCCTTTGCCCTGGACAGCTCCAGAGGTCATTATGGGTGCCAAAAGGGTCCCGTGGTCTTTCCATGTCCCTAGGGCAGCTGCTGGGGGCTTTCCAAGACACTGTCACTCTGAGTCAAGGCCTGGGCAGCTGGTCTTTTGAGACTTGCTGGGGATCTGAGGACGGGGCAGGTTCCTGAATGCCTGGAATATGATATGTGGTCTGGAATCTCCCCAGACCCCAGTTGATCCCCAGGATGGAAGTTTAGGGTATTTAGATTTGCTTCATCTGGGCAAGTATGCAACCCTCTGGAATATTCTAGAATGTTAGTGCTGGCAGGGCACCAGAAGTCAATGAGTCCAACTTGCTTATTTCCCAAGAGGGAAAACAGGCCCAGAAAGGGCAAGGAATTCCTCCAAGGTCTCATAGCAGGTCCAGTGCACATATTGGTCCACAAATTTGTCCACACATGTGGATATTTCTCGCAGGTACATCAAAGCACGTAGGGCCCGCCTGGCCCTGGAGACTCTGCTGGGTGGAGTAAGACTGGAAGTGATGGAAAAAAAGACTCTGGGACTTGTGGGGCCGGGAAGGTAAGGACATGGGCACCTTTATGGCATGGTGTGTCCCTAGTGCCCAGGACAGGGGCTGCAGGCCAGGGTGTCCTATTGCTTGGCTCTGCCCCCAGCGTTTATGAAGCATGAACGGCCCCAGACCAGCTCGGGCCTGGGAAAGTGAGACTGGTATGGAGGGGAGGTGGCTTCTGGATGAGGCTACACTGCCCAAGGCCAGGTCCCAGCTCAGCGGGAGCCGGGAATGTCAGGGTTGCTTACCCAGCTCTCGGGCGGATAGAAGTGCAAGGAGAGAGCTGCAGCTCCTTGAGGGGCAGCCAACGCACCAGAAGAAAGGTTAGTTCACCACCTCCTGAACCTTGAGAATCTCCCTAGGGATTTCAGCCTCCCCACCTGTCACCCAGACTGTGTCACCAAGCCTAACTTCCCCCATCTTACAGACGGGGAAACTGACTCCTTCAGGAGAACCCTGGCTCGGAGTTACATGCCTCCCCCAAGGCAGAGGGCTGGTCACAGCCGGTGCAGTTCTCTGGCCTCCTAAGCCAGCCCCAGGGGTTGGGGTGCAACATGCCAAGGACAAAGGCTTTCCAGAAGGGGACAGCTTATGGGAGCATCCTGGCTGATGAGTGGCCAGGACATGCCAGGAGGTGCTGGGTGCTGGGAGGTAGATGGGGAGCTCTGGGCAGGGCAGGCTGGGGACCAGCCCCCTACAGGAGGCTGTCTTCTGTCTCGGTCCGAGGCCTGGGGCAGCTTGAATCCTGTGGCCGCTCTGGCTCTGGCTCCACCTGGGGCTCGAGCTGGGACTCTGGCTCTGGTTCCTCCTGGGGCCCCAGGGGGCTGTCACAGGAGATGGTAGAGGAGGTGTGGACTTCATTCAGGGTGGAGCTGGAAGCAGAAACAAGTGATGAGGGGCTGGGAGGGAATCACGGCAATGTGTAGCAGTACTCAAGAGCTTTCTGTGCCCACGCTGTGCCACACACCTCACACATTTCAGTTCATTTAATCCTTATAAAGTCCGTGTAGGGCAGGCACTGTGCAGCAAATGCATCCAGAGCTGTGACGTCATTGCCCTGCCCTACTCACTCCCCGCCCATTAGCACTCCACCCCTGCACTCCTGAAGGTACACATTTTCTCGGTTAATCCTCACAACCACCTTCAAATAGACGTGCTTTTATTATTTTCACTTACACATAAAGAAACTGAGGTTCAGAGAGAAAGCAGCTTCTCTTAGGGCACAGGACAGGGCCAGCATTTACACCCCAAGCTGTCTAAGCTCCGAGCTTAACTCCTCTACACACTAGCTACCTGGAGCCTTGGAATATTAGCTCCCTAAACAGGCGGGAGGGCCTTGGAAGTTTCTAGGGCTCTTGGAAAGACGAGGCTCACAGAGAAGGTGCCTGGCCAGGGCCCCCAGCAGCTAGTGGGAGAGCTGGGGCTGGAATGCAGCCTGGGCTCCTGCCACTTCACCACAGGGCAGGTCTGGTTTTCGGGGTGGCTCTGGCCTCATAGGGAACCCTTCTCTCCAGCTGAGGGAGATCCTGTCTGAACATCAAATCCAGGCAATAGCTGGGCCTTCCTCCAAAGCCCTCCCAACCCGAACTTCACCACATGCCAAGGCAAAAGGAAAGCACAAATCTCCCTCCCACTCTGAATTCTTGCCTGAACCCTTATAGGCACTTCTGCCTGCTACAACCATGCCAGGCTCCAGGGACCCTCAGCACATGGTGCTGAAGGACAGACCACAGGCCTAGGGCTGGTGATGACCCCAGCGTAATATATAGGGTGCTGAGGATGCTAATTAGATTTTCTACTTTTCCCCTTGGGGCCAAAACAGGACCTAGGGAGAGGACAGAGTTGATGGCCCATGGGGGCTCCTTCAAAGGAAACAGCTACCTTGCAGCTAAGTCCCAGCCCGTGCTTTCCCTTACCAGTCTGTCCTTTCCAGAAGAGGTTATCAAAGTTCAAATGAGTTCAATATTCTTTTCTCCTCACTGGCAGGAATACACATATATTCACCCTAGGTAACTTACTTCTAAGGCAAGTCTGACAGCATGAAGACACAGACAGACAGACAGACACAAACACTATGCACGCTTGGGCCCCAGGCCAGAGTGGCTACCTGGCAAGGCTGGGGGAACCCTCCAGTGGGCCCTCATCAGCAACCTCGGGTTTGGGGTCAGGCAGGGGGATGATATAGTCATTGTCACCCTCATTGGGCTGCACAGCAGTGTAGAGGACGGAGCTCGTGTCCAGAGGAGATCGGAGGCCATGGGAGCCAGGCAAGCGGGCTTGGGACCGAAGGACAGCTGGGTGGTCACTCCTCAGAAACTCCTCATCCACCTGCTGGTACTTCTGCTCCGCAGGGCAGGGAGAACCCAAGAAACAGGGCGGGTCACACCAGAAATGCTGTTCAGGATCATCTGACAGGTGATGACCTGCCCCCTCCTGCCTTGTGTGAATAGGGCAACTGGTGCTCAGCCAGAAAGAATAATCACCTGAAGACACCCAGCCAAGCTGTTCCCCACCAGCATCTCACAAGACAAGGTGAGCTGAGGGCCATCCAGGCTGGGGGCAGCTAGTGCAGAGGTGCAGCCTTTTATCCTGCTCAAGCCCCTTCAGTGGGGCCTCAGCTCCCCAACCACTGTACAATGCCAGTCCCACTCCATCCCGCCGGCCCTGAGCCATAGCGGGCATGGGTGGGAATGGGGTCAGGGAAAGGGCTGTCTATGCCAGAGGGCACATGCAGCTCCCCGCGCTCTAGACCCCACTGTCGGACATGGGGGGCTTGCAGGCCCTGCTGGCTCCCTGTGCTTTGTATGAGCCTGGAATAGGGCTCAGGGCCCTCGTGTGGCTCGGGCTTGCTGAAACTTGTGAAGGAGCAGAGGCACGGGAAGGGAGCAGGATGAAGGTGGCTGTAGGCTCCCTTTCCCCACTTTACATATATCAGCTTCCATGTAGGATTCCATTTTGAAACACTGTGCTGCTAAAATAAGCTAAACTTCCAGTTCCAGCCCATCTCTTACCAGCACCAACTGGAAACTGAGGCCTAGAGAAGGTAAATGAGGATCCCCCAAACACCGGCCCGACACACAGAGCCTTGTACCAAGTGGCTGACTTCTGGACCAGAACTCTCCATTCCCTCCCCTCCCCCCTACCCCCCTTATGCCCACCCCCCCGCTTCAACTTACCTTTTTGTAACCCTCACCCAGCAGTCTCTCAAGAAGCAGCACCAGCTGGGAGAAGGGGGGCCGAATCTCAAACTTCTCTCCCCAGCACTTCCGCATGATCTCGTAACTGGAAGAGGTGCAGAGGGTCAGGGGTCTGGCTCGTGGGCCGCCCTCTCCTGGAACAAGGTGAGCAGGAGGGCAGGTGGACAGGTGGTGTTTTCCCCAATATGGCACCTGGATATTCACTTGGGAAGCCATCCCTCCACCAGGGTTTCCCTGGGGTGGACCACACCTTGGTGAGCACAGGACCCCCAGGTCTGGCCAGTAAGACTTTTCTTCCCCTCAGCTGTTTGGCTGGTTAATGCATGGGCATGTGACCCCAGCTGAGCCCCCAGCTGACAGTCAGCGCAGGAACTTCTGCTGGAAGTATGGTGAAACCGGCTAGGATGCAGCCATTTGGCCTGAGAAGGAGGCCAGTGCAAAGGGAAGCCCTAGGGTAAAACCATTCCTGATGACATTATCTGAACACCTAGATCCAGCTATACCTAGGTTTTCTAGATCTTTGAACTAACAGATCATTTTGGCTTAACCTAGTAAAGTTGAGTATCTATTGTCTGCACCCAAAAAATCCTCCCACGTGCCCCACTCACATCTCATCGGAAGCATGGGCAGGCTGGGCCATGCGGTAGCCCCGCTTGATAGCATTGTAGAATTGCTCATTCATGGGCAGCTCTGGATAAGGGGTGCCACCTATTGGGGAGCAAAAATGAGACACACAGGCTCAGGGGTGTTGGAAAAGTGGCAGCTACCCTCTTCTGGGGTACAGGGAGAGGGAGAGGCACACTAGCCCTGGTGTGGGTGAGGGAGCAGGACCCTGACGTTGGGAAATGTGGGCTCCTTCATGGCCTGTGGAAAGAGACTGCAACCCTCCCCAGAATCAGAGACCCAGAGAACACCAGGGCCAAGCAGGCTTTTTGATGTCACTGTCTAAACCCCTTGATGCCCAGATGGAGAGGTAAAGAGATCCAGAGATGGCAAGGGACTTGCCCAGTTTACATAGCATCGAGAAAGAAGCAGAGCTGGGACTTGAACCAGAGCCCCCATCCCCATTCCAGAGCCTTGCCACAGCCCCACCAAGCAGGGAAGGGCACGGTCAGGGTGGACGCTGTGCCATGCCACTGAGGCCTGGGGGGAGAGGCAGTGTACCCAGGGTGAAGATCTCCCAGAGCAGGATCCCGAAGGACCACACGTCGCTCAGGGTGGTGTAGAGGCTGTTGAAGATGCTCTCGGGGGCCATCCACTTCAGAGGCAGGAAGGTCTGCGGGAGGGCAGAGGGCCGCTGAGTGCAGGGGGTGCCAAGCCCCACCGTGCCTGGGCGTGGGAGGGAGGCCTGGTGGTCCTGGCCCAGCTCCCTCCCACCTGCTGACCTCTGAAAGCCCCCCCTGCAGGCACTCAGCTCCCATGCACACACAGTGCTGCCAGAGGATCACCCAGGCCAGTGCCCTTTCACATAAGCTGGGGACATAGCAGCTCCTACCCTTGGGGGAAAGCTCCAGGGTCTGGAGCCCCTCATGGAACAGGCCCCTTGGCAGACCCCAGGAGAGGCCCCTGGCCAGGTTGGTACAGGAGTGGGAGAGCCAGGGACATGCCAAGGTGCCACCCGGCTCTCATTCTGCTGCCTTAGATCTCTGGGCCTACAGCTCTGGGGCTCACTGTCCCCTGTGGAAAGTGGGGACATGACTGAGAGGTAGAATGGTTACATTTAACCACATACCACCTGCCCCTTCCTGCTGTGGCCTGGGCTTCTTCCCCTGCCCACCACTGCCCCTGGAACACTGGGCCTGCCCCCTGCCGTGACCAGTGAGTCTGGGCCCCTGGCCTGCCCCCGCAGGTCTCAGCGTCTGTCCCCCTCACCCCATGCACAGCTGGTGGCTTCTCTTCCTGTCCCTGCACACAAGGCTAGATGGGCAAAGCCTGTTGCTGCTGGCTGGGCCACGCCCTGAGGAGCACCGGCCTGCTCGGCACAGGCAGCAGCCACCCTGACCAGGAGGGCAGCCGTTCCTCGAGTCAGGGAAGGTACTCACACTGCCTTTGGAGATGTAGTTCGAGTCACGCATGATGTCACGGGCCAGACCAAAGTCACAGATCTTGACAAGCTTGCCCTCACAGATGAGCACATTCCTGGCTGCCAGGTCCCGGTGCACACACTAGGTTGGGGGAGACAGGAGCTGAGGCCTTGGGAGCAATTGTGGGAAAAGACCCTCCATGTTAAGGGCTTTGGGAAAAACACACCACTGTACAGGTGAGAGGGGCCACACAGTGAGAGGGCATTACCTGTCCTCACCCACCAGAGGGGACACAGCTGCCATATGTAGCCGTGTACTTGTGCCCCTGGAACTTGAGCCCCTGGGACGCTGGCTGGCTGGGGGCCCACCTCCTCATGACCCCACTCTGCCCACCATGACCACACATACGTTCTTGGAGGCTAGGAACTCCATGCCGTTGGCCACCTGGTAGCTGAAGCCCACAAGATCCATGTAGCTAAGCACTGGGGACTCGTCGATCAGAGTCGCCCGGCAGGTCCTCTCGGGAGCTAGGGGACAGCAGAAGGTCACCTGCCATCTTTTCTCTCCCAGTGGCCCACAGAACCCCTACCCTGTCACTCATGGAGGGTGAATGTCCAATACAGGTGGCTACTGATGCTAAGTATCCCCCAAAATGAAAACAATTTCTAAATATATAACTTAAAGCTCTCCTACTTATCAGTGCTCTCACTGGCCAGCAGATCCTTTGTCACTAGCCCTGGGCCGCCGTTGGCCAGTCTGCTTCTCAGGGACACCGGAGAAGCCTGGGGCCTATTCTTTGTAGACCACCCTTCCTCAAGGCCCCAGGAAGCCAGGTGCTCCCCTGCCCTGACTCCTCCCCTCCCCGTGGGCCATGTGCATACTTCTGGACCCAGAAGTGGGGGTTCATATTAGGGCTACACCACACAGCAGGTTTGGGCAGGTAGCTAGCCTCAGTTTCTGCATCTGTGAAATGGGCACAAGGCCACCTTTCTCCCAGAACTGTTGCCAGGCCAGGCATGAGAAAGACTTTCAAAAGAATGCATCACTGTACACGTGTGAGGGCCATGCAGGTGTGAGGATACTGCACCCACCTGAGGGAACATAGTTATCATAAGGGGCCATGGAGTTGGAGGGGTCAATGTCTGCATATTTGATGTCTCCTTTCATGTCCAACATGGGAACGTAGTCCACCGACTCATCCTTACTCATGTCCATGTAGCCACCGTCACTCTCCCCAGGCAGGGACACGTGGCTGGTGGTGAGAGGAACATCACAAATGGAGAGGCCCCCCGCCTGCCCCCTTAAGGGTAGAGCACGGAGCCCTGCAGTGGGAATGGGGCCTGGAGCCGGGGAGCACCGGGTGCTCACTGTGGAAGGGGAAGGAGACCCCACAACACGGGGACAGTGTGAGAGGCCAAGGGGTCCCATCTGCAAAGTGCCTAGCACAGGGCCTGGCACACTGCGGACAGTCAGTCGGAGGCAGCTGACCCCACCATTATCATCACCCTTATTGTGATGCCCTCTCCTGGGGCGGCCAAGTCCCAGGCCAGGACTGGCTTGTGAAACAGTTCTGGCTCGGGGGCGACTCTGCCTGCCCTGGCCTCAGCATCCTGTCCTGGACAAGGAGGGAGTGGGTGGTGGCTCCTCAGGGCTCCCCAGAGACTCAGTTCTCCAGCCTGCCTCCTAGTACCTGGGCAGGGTGAGGCCGGCTGGCAGGGCGTTGCTGTACAGCTCGGTGCTGGGCGGGCAGCACTTGTCAGGGCAGCGCTGCAGGAAGGTGTGCTTATTGCGGTGCAGGTAGTCCCCCAGGTCACCATAGCGGCAGTATTCAGTGATGATGTAGATGGGCCCTGCAGAGGGACAGGCGCAGGGACAGTCCCCAGGGAGGCCACAGGCTTCCCGGTGGGGGGCTGACAAGGGGCCACTTAGGGGAGAGGCAGTTTGGTAAGACAGCGAAGAGGCTCGGGCACCAGGCAGACCTGGCTTCTTTCCCTGCCTCTGACTTGAGCAAGACACTTAGCCTCCCTGAGCCTCACTTGCCTCATCTGTTAAATGGGGCCAACAATACCCACCTCAAAGGGCCGTCATGAGTGCTCAGGAGATAATGTTTTGTCAGAGCATTAGCTCGGCTCACAGCCTGGCACACAGCACATGCAGTGTTAGCTGCTATGCATAGGCTTTCATGCTAAAGCTTATTTTGGAGGCCAGTATATAAAGTAAAAAAAGGCAACTGTGTATCATCAGATGACTAAGTTTGAATACAATACATTTAAAGTCAACCACTGGGAATAGAAAGATATTGATGAAAGCAAAAATTTTGAAATGGGCGGTCGTTGCAGAAATAAATTGACCTATGTATGTGACATGCTTCTGTATTTTGTTTTGGTTGCACAATACTTAGGAAAATTCCAAATCTCACAATAATCAGCTGCAAATGGCACTTGTTGCAAATGGCCCACCTGAAGGTGCCAGAGGATAACATTTCCTCCTGGCCTAACTTTCAATCAGAGCTTCAAATAAACCCACGTGGCTGGACAGACTTTATTCTGACCTGAATGAAAGACCATCCCAGTAAGCATGCTGGTGGTCTCCAGTGGTGGGGACATAATTCATTTCAGTGTCACATGAACTGTAATTTTTTACAGTTTTTAAAGTGTATTGTGAAATTTAAAAAACATCAGAGGATCCCTTGATTTGGAAACGACTGGGACTGGGGAGTTGAAGAGTCCTTTGGCCTTGAAGGTGTGATTGTGTGGGTTTGTAAACCCCACACCCATCTGGTGTGTGAAGTGAGCGCAGCGGACAGGATGGGCACAGAACCTGTTGCCCATGGACTGGGCAGGGATGGGAAGCAGCCAGGCCTTGGCTGCTGGCATGTTCCAGAATCCTCTGGAGAGTGGGTTTGGTACCTCCTTTGGTGCAGGCCCCCAGCAGGTTGACCACATTCAGGTGGGGTCCGAGGTGACTCATAATCTTTAGCTCTGACATGAGGGCTTGCTTCTCACTGCTGCGGGCCGTGGCTGAGGGAGAGACGGGCACAGTTGCTGAGGCCTGAAGAGGCCCACCAGCCTGTCCCAACCCTTCTGCCCCGCCCTGTGTTATAAGAACGAGGTGTTCCAGGGTGGTCAGGACCCACATGCAGGGGGAAGGGGAGAGGCTGGGAGGAAGGGGAGGAGGGGAGAGGCACCCATGGGGGAGGGGCAGGTGAGGAAGCTTCTTTCCCAAAGCAGACGCGGGCGCAGAGCTGGCTGCAGTGTGGCTACACCTCTTGTGCCTAGTGAATAGGGATCGGGCCTGCTCTGGGGGAGCCTGTACACACAGCAGAGGCAGGGGCAGGGGCAGATGTGAGGGAGAGACAGGCTCCCAGGACTCACATTTCAGCATCTTGACAGCCACTTTCATCGTGGCCTGTGAATGACTCAGGCCGTGAGCCGTGGCCTCCACCACCTGCCCAAAGGCCCCGGAGCCCAGGGTGCGTCCTGGGGTAGAAGTGACCCCTCAGCTCCAGGCCCAGCAGGAAGCTGCATCCCCCACCCTCACCGAGGTCAGTCCCTCAAGCCATCCTGGATTTAGGTGTTTCCTCCAAGAAGAAATCATAGTGTTTCAAGGTTCTTCCTGGTGTCTCATCTAAGTGCTGCCTGCTTTCTGGCCCATCTTTGTCCCTGGGAAGACTTCTTCTCTCCCCAGAGGGGAGCACAACTCCTCTACACCCCTCAGCATCTCCAGCTAGACTGAGCACAGGCTGGCACTCAGCCTGTCCTCAATTAATACTTCCTTTCTCACCATGAGAGAGGCCCATCTAATGCAGTCACAGGATCATAGGGTCTTAATGTGAACAGTCCCTGAGGGATTGTCTTGCTCCCCACTATTCAGGGAGGACACCAAGGGCCAGAGAAGGTAAGACATTAGCCCGAGGCCCCAGAGCTAGGCATGGCAAGGCTGGAACCAGACCTCAGGTAGTCTTCCCACCTGCCTCAAGTCCCAAGTGCCTGGTGAGGCTTCCCAGGACTGACCGAGCACAAGCTGGTCCCGTGGCAGCTCCCAGGTGGAGTCGTAGGGCAGCTGCATAGGGTCCACGTAGATATACTCATGGCCATCAGAGCTGACAGACTCAATCACCTTCCATCGGATTTCATAACGTGGCTTCTGCAGAACCAGAAATGGATCATTAAAGGGGGTCTGGGCCTTGAGGCCCACTAGGTCCACCTTCCATCGGATTTCATAACGTGGCTTCTGCAGAACCAGAAATGGATCATTAAAGGGGGTCTGGGCCTTGAGGCCCACTAGGTCCAGCCCCTTACGGATGGAACAGAGGGGGCAGGAGACCCTGAGACCCACAGAGTGGCAGAGGCATATCTGAAGTCACATAGCAAGTTATTGATAGAGCCAGGGTCTTCATGGGCTCAGTGAGGACAGGTGCCAAAGGCCCCAGATGGGGAGTGGCTTAGGAGCAGCTGACAGCCATGGGCGCCCTCCTTGTCAGAACCTCCGCACTAGCTTCTCCTAGAGCATCAGCTGCTCTTCAGATGGGAGCTGAGGGGCAGGCAGCCCTGCAAAGGGACACAGGCAGCAGCCCTTTGGGGATGTGGCTGGCCCCAGCCCCATGCTGGAGCAGTCACAGTGGGAACCTCAGAGACATGTAACCTTAGAATGCTGAAATCACAGGATGTTGGAATCACAGGACTGGAATCTTAGAATGATAGAATTATGGGGTGCTGCAATCCTAACTCGGAATCTTAAAATGTTGGAATCATATGATGGTGAAATCTCAGGACAGAACATTGAAATTACAGATCAGTAGGATTAAAATGCATTTCAGTAGAACTGTGAGAGTCCCTGTGGGTGAGAGGTGGAAGAATCTGGAGCCCATGTAGTCCCAGCTCTATGGCTGGGATGGATGATGTCTGAGCAGAACCCTGGGTACAGAGCAGAGGCTGGGAGCCCTGGATGGCCTGGCCCAGGCTGCGGGGGTGGAGAGAGTTCAGCCACCCAGTGTCACCTGAGCTTCGTGCTGGGCTTGGACATGGCCTGATCCTGCAGCATTTGAGGAAAGCAGAGGAAGTCCATGCAAACAGATGGTGTGCCAGTCTGCACCCACTAAGCTCGGGTGGGGGTTTACCTTCTGCCAAAGCATGATGAGGATGATGAGGGAGATGATCATGAGCACCACCAAGGCCAGGATGGCTGAGATCACCACCACCTTAAAGGGCAGAGCTGGAGGCAGAGACAAGAGCTGGCCATAAGCAGACAGGGAACTTGGCTCATGCCACCTCTGACACCACGAGACCCTCTGTGCCCATTCTGCCCAGAACAGAACCCCCACCAACCACAGCCTAGGATGTCAGGCTCTCAGCCTCTCCTCTAGGCCTCACCACCAGGCTCCCATAAATACCCCATGCCCCTCAGTAACCCTCGCCCTCAGATCGCTCCCAGCTCCACCCCCTCAGCCCTCCGAGGGATCAGTTCAGCTCCCAGTGGCTGTGCTTGGCTCACCTCGCCTTTGACTCCATGCCCTTGTTGGAGCTGTCACAGCTAGGAAAGAGCCTGGCCAAGGGACCTGCTGCCTGATGAAGCCAGACTGCAGAAAGGGGCCTGTCTCCTCCTCTCGTCCACACCAAGTGCCCAGCGGGGTGAGGTAGTGATGGCAGTTATAAAGTGCACCCCGCAGGGAACAGGCATGATGAGCAGGGCTCACTCTGGGCCTCCCAAACCTCGAGGCTCCTTCAGAGTCAGGCCTCATCCTCTTTGCTGCACACATTCCCGTTCCTTGGTACTCCCTCCACGTCCACCCCAGTCAGGCCCTCATCTCCCCTGTCCTGCCCCAATGCCACCCATGGGTTTTCCTGGGAACTCATTCCCTCCTCTTCAGGGCCCCAGACCAATGTCACTCCTCTTCTCCCTACCCCACCAGGCCACACAAGCGGGTCCTGGGAAGGAGCCATCTGAGGAAAAAGAGGAGGCTTCACCCAGCCGTGGCAGTTGCCCCGAGCTGTGACGGGTGCATGGCTTTCCCCTCAGGTACACAGAAAACTTCACTTCTGTCTTGTTCAGAACTGGTCTGCAGGCGCCCACTTGCTCAGGGATATGTGTGTAGGAGTGTGGATGAGATAAGGCACTAACTGTCCCACACAGGGCAGGGGGCAGGGGCCAGGTCTGTGCATGGAGAGGCACATGAGTGTGCAAGCCCATGACCTGCCTGCTATTAAGTGTGCCCCAAATGTCCTGCACAGCCTTCCGAGCCCTGCTTGCACTGACTTCTGCCACCTCCTGCAGCCCCTCACTGTTTGGCCCTCATCTCTCTCCTCCCCAGCCCCTAACACACACACACTCCATGCTCTGTTCAGGCTGAATTCCTTTCATCTCTTGGAGCCCACTTTGCCTCTGGACTTTTTCACAGGCCGTCCCCTCTGACCAGAACTCCATTCCTCACCAGGCTTACTCCCTAATCTGTCAGGTTTTTGAAAATGCTTTCTTTTTCCAGGACACTTTTCTGGATCCCACACCTGGGCACAGAGTCCTTCTCCCTCTAAGCTTTCCCCCCAAAATGCTGATCCTTGCAGCAGGATTGCTTAGTTCCTTATCTTCCTCTCTCTGGACTGCGGGCACTAGGAGAGCAGGCAGGGCTCGACCTTCTCCAGGGAGAACTGGGACTCCGTAAGTATTTATTGGATGAGTAAATAAGTGAATTTATGCAGTACAAGCATACAGGTACATGTATAACCAAGGACTGGCACACAGCAAAAGCATCCAGGCATTGGTAGAGACTGTTCATATGGGCAGAATTATGCATGTATGTGTCCCTTCTAACAGACCTGCATTATACAGCAGGCTTGTAGGTATAGGGATTGTGCTTGCACATTTGCAGAAAGGTGTGCTGCAGCTCCGTGCTTACAGATGTGCATGATGCCAGTTTGTACACATGCACAGGAATTGTACATGGATTGTCTGCACACATATGAGGATTGTGCACCCACACATACATGCATACAGACACTCACTCATAGATTTATATATGTGTCTAGAAATTGGACATGTTCATGTTCCTGGTTTACAAACACACCTGGTGGGTTTACACACCTAGACAGGCATCATGCATGCTTGCATACATGCTTACAGACATACCCTTTCAGCTTTATGCATGTATCTGGGGATTGGACATTCTTGACTACGTGGTTTACAAATCTACACTCAGAGGGTTTGCACCTGTGTCCAAGGATCAGGCACGCTCGTATACATGGTTTATCGTGCACACAGAGTGTACGTACCCTAGGCATAAGGAACTAGTGCTACTCATAGCCATGGCTAATAGACATGTACTGGCGGGCGTACATATGTTTGCCAATATTGTGCTGTTGTGTAAGTGCATGGAAGGAACGTGCACTGGTGGGTTTCACACACAATGCTCCTGAGTGCCCATGGACATGCGGACTCTGGTCCGCTGTGGGTGCACAGGCATAGTCCCAAGGATGGTGGCTGGGTTGAGGTGGGGGTGAGGGGTCGCCAGGGGCTGCCGAAGCTGGAGGACTCACATTGTGGCACCACGGTGACCTCCTGAATGTCGTGGCCCAGCAGGTTTTGCAGCGTGCAGCGCACCGACAGTGGCTGATCCACACGGTGCAGGCGCAGTGTGCTCACCACCTCAAACTCCTGCTCCTCAGCCCAATAAGTCACATTAGTCTCCAGCTGGCTCTCCTCCTCAGAACTGTTACCCAATGGCATGGGTGGCAGTTCGCGTGGACACCTGCCAGGACAGCCAGCCAGGTCGGCTTTCAGTCCCTGCCCTATGCAGGAAGGGAAACTGAGGCCAAAGGCAGGCAGCGCCACGGGGTGGTGGTGGAAGGAGACCTGACGCCTCCAGTCTCTGCGACTTTCTGCTGCCTGATCCTGAGCTGATTCATCTATGGTTCCTAGACTGACCATTAGGGGGCGCTCCTACCCCAGGCCTGAGAACCCTGGATTGCAAAAGCTACTCCCTTCAGTTGAAACAGTCAAGGAAAAGGGACAATTCTGATGATGCAGAGCGCCTCCAAAAAGTCACATCTGGATGTGACTCTAGCCTGGAACAATGCGGCCAGAGGAAGAAGCTGGACTAGATGATCATCACTGGGCCCTTCCTACCAGCTATGAGTACCCTGGGGGACTGAGGCTTATGATCTACTCGCCTTTTGAGGTTGCTGCAGGTAGACCAGGTGAGGTGTGGCTGGGGCATGCCCCGGCCTCGGCAGCGGACTGTCTGCTCCCCACTGGCAGGGTGGCTCTCACTCAGCTCCAGAACACGGACAGGCACTGCATGGAGGAGACATTGCCAGGAGGTGGGAAGGTCAAACCAGGCAGCCAGTGAGGTAGGCCCTCAGGGAGGGCCCCGCCCCCCGCCCAGGGTCTCCCCTGGGGGAAGGGAGGTGCACACTGCAGGTGAACATTAAATACCAGGAATGACTGTGAAAACTGACAGATCCCGCTTCTGGGTACTTCAAAGGGAAAGCCTCAGCAGGGTGCTAGTCTGTCTTTAACACCTCTCTGAGATTTGCTAATCTTCCTTTTAACAGAGAGAGCAGGCCTGAGGATCTGAGGGAGTCCTGGGAAGGCTAGGGTATGAAGCTAAATTTAATAGCATTGTTTTGTTGTCTCGGAGTTTACTTTAGTGGTTGCTTTATATTTATGACATGTGATGCTGATTTTCCACCTGGGATTGAGAGCTTAAATTCTCTTTCAAAATAAATTTATTTTTAGAAAGTTAATCGACAAAACGTTAACTCATTATTGTGTCATTCCTCTGCTCAAAACCCTGCGATGGCTCTTCATTTCAGTCACAGTAAAAGCCAAAGTCCATACAAGAGCCCAGGAGGACCTTCGTGATCTGCCCCCCCAGCCCCCAACTACCCTATCTCCCCTATGAGCTCGTCCCCCACATTGTCCCCCTCACTCTGTTGCAGCCATGCAGGCCTTTCTGCTATTGCTCCTGCCTGGGTACCCTTTCCCCAAATAGCCACTTGGATAATGCCCTCACCCTGAAGTTGTTACACAAACATCATCCCTACGAGTCCACCCCCACCATCCTATTTAAAATTGCAAACTTCACTGAGCTCCTGCCCCCAGAACTCTCAATACTCCCTTTCCAGCCCTTTTTTTCAGCTTTTTTTTTTTCTTCTGCAGCACTTGTTAACTTCTAAACTTCTCCATAACGGGCTCTTTTTTTTTCTCTACTGGTGAATGTTTGTCTTCCCCCACTAGTATGCAAGTGCCACCAGGGCAGAGCCTCCAAAACCGTGAACAGACTGGTACATTATAGTTGCTCAGCAAAGATCTAGCTAACGAATAGTGTAGTATAAGTAGTAGCTAAGAAGGAAAAATCATGGCATTGGTATATGAATGCCTGAGGTTTTGGAAACACTAATCTAGCCTAATGACCTCCTTTTATAGCTGGGGAAACTGAGGCCCAGAGAGGGGATATGCCAGGTTTACAAGGCAGTGGGACAGTGTCAGAGCTCAACCTAGAACCCAGTCCCTCTCTTGCTCTGTCTAGGGAGAGGGAGTGGGGGTGGGAGAAGCAGGAGAGGAAAGCAGGGTGGAGAGCCCCTCACCGTTGACCTGCAGCTGGAAGGAGACCTGGGCCTCAGCGTCCTCATGGAAGGCCCGCATGGTATAGTGGCCAGCCTCAGTCACCTTCACCCGCACCAGTGTCAGTTCTGACACATACCTGGGAAGCAGGACAGGTCCAGCAGTCAGAGCCGGGAGAACTCTTACAGTCTTCCCCCACCCTCCTTGTACAGGCAGGAAAAACAAGGCCCAGTGGGGGGAAAGGGCTTGCCAGGGTCACAGAGGTGACAGTAGCAGAGCCAGGACTCACATCCCCATCTCCTGAATCCCCACCCATAGGCAACACCACTGAGCTAAGAGGGAGGATTGGTTGGGGGGATGTACCCTCTCCTCCACAATTCATCTGCTTCAGAAAGGACTGACTCGCTTTATCCTAACACAGGGCACTTCTTCCTCCTGCTAATCTCCAGCCTTAGGGTTACCTTTCAGGTTTAGATGGAACCCTGTTCTGCAATCATCAAGACTTTTTCTTCTCAGCTGCCCCCTGCCAGCTCCACCCGTCACAAGGACCACTAAACATCTGGGTGATCATCTGACCAGCATCTGCTTCACCGACTGGATGGGAAACCCTGGGACAGATGGCACTGTCTGTACTGGTCTCTGGAGCATCTCCAGTGCCCGGCACCGCGCCTGGCACACAGTAGGTTCTCAGGAAAGATGGGCCTAGGTTTGTGTAGTGACTGAAAGCTGTAGGCTGCCTCGCGGCTGCAGAATATGGTAATTTCAAGAATGGATTGGGCGCTGCTGCTCACCGGGTCTCAGACAGATTGCGTGTGGACAGGGCGATCTCCCCGGCGCTAGAGTCGCCCAGTGTGCGGTTTTCCTTGAACCACATGACAGTGGGCGGCGGGTAGGACTCGAACACCACCTGCAGTGTCCGGCTGCGGTGCAGCTCCGCGAACTGTACAGTGTCTAGTTCTCCCAGCAGCTGTACGTAGCCGCTCTCTGCAAGAACAGCCGTCAGGGGCGGGGCTATGCCCGGCAACCAATGAGGCAACGCCTTCAGGGGGCGGGGCTCCTGGAGCGAGGCATCAGCCTTCTGGGGGCAGGGCTTCAGGCTTAGAACTGAACCAGCCAATGGTTGTTATCCTAGCAGGGACTGAGGCTGGGTCTGGGACTGGAGTAGAGGACTAATTTAGGGCTGATGCTGGGTTGGAGGCCGGGTTTGAGATTGGAACTAGACTTGTAGTTCTTAATGGGCGTGTGGAAGAGATTAGTTGCAGCGTGGTTGAATTTTGGGCTGGGGTTGCTTGGACCTGAGACAGTAGTTGGGATTAGAAATCAGGTTGGGGCTGGTATCCTGGCTAGGTGAACAGTGTACGTGGGGATTAGGATTGGCTTTGGGCTGATACTACACTTTGGTTTGGGTTTATCCTGGAAGTGGGCTTGGACTGGCCCTAAGCCTAGAGCTGGATTGGAATGTGGTGACAGTACCCTGGAGACTGTGACAGGGTCAGGGTCCAGCTCAGAATGAGGGTTGGGGCCGAACCCAAGGGACGCACCAACCACAGTGACATTGACGGCCTTTTCATCTCGATGGTCATTCACACTCTCTGATACATTGCAGATGTAGGTCCCAGAGTCGCCCAGCTCAGCGCTGGGGATGTGCAAGATGGAGCGTATGTGGGAGGGTACACTGAAGAGGAAGTCAGTCACTGGCTCCACCAGCCGCCCACTCTGTAAGGACAGTCAGGGCAAACCCCCAGATCAGGAAGGGTCTGGGAAGTCAGGCTGCAAGTCAAGCCAGCCATCTCTACCTGCCTCTTCCTCCAGCCCTTAGTCCAGCATTACCTCCAGGCGTGGGTATATCCACTCAAAGTTGACCACCTCGTTCCCAGTCACAATGCATATGATGGTGATGTTCTCACCCTGGCGGACCACAGTCTGCACTGCATTCACTGAGACATTGATGGATGACACTGGTGGAGAGAGATTGGCTTAGGGCTGAGGAAGCACCACCAGCCATCAGCACTTTAACTTAGGGATGGTGTAAGGATCCACAGAGGTAAGGGATGACTGGCTTAGAAGATTTGTTCATTCAACAAATAGTTATTAAATACCTACTATATGCCACACACTGTTCTAGGCATTGAAGCTTTAGCAGTAAACACAACAAAGGTCCTGTCTTCATGAAGCTGACATTCTAGAAGGGGTAATAGTCTTAAAATCTAAGTACTGTCTGGGAATCTAAGTATAGGAAAAATTTACTGAGCCCAACTACACACCAGGTACCCTCTGTCTTCTGTTTTCTTTAATTTTCACAATAATCCTACTAGATAGGCAATCATTATTATCGCCATTTTATGGAAGAAGAAACAGGCTCAGAGAGATTATGTGCTTTGTACAAAGTCACTGAGATGAGAAATGGCACAAGTGGGATTCACACCCAACTGGCTCTAAAACCTGTGCCTTTGCCCACCATATTATACAGCCCAGCTCTGTCACTAATGCTTCCCTTGACTTTGGGCATACTCCATCCTCTTTCCGAGCCTCAGTTTCCTCTTCTGTAAAATGGGTAAACACTACTTGCCTTCCAAGACTGTAGTGAGAGTCCAGTGAAAAATGTAATTTCACACTTTGTAAACCAAAAAGGGCTATACTTCTGTGACGGGTCATACTTGCCTCTGCTGAGCATCAGGCCAGAAAGGGGGCTCACCCTGGAGGCTGTAGACATAGTAGGCTTCAGAATCCACCTCTTTGTCCCCAATGGTGGTTTTGCAGACATAGGTCTTGTCCTCAAAGATACCAGAGAAGCCATGTTGGTGGTCATAGGGGATGGGGAGTGGGACATCCACTTTCTTCTCGTGCAGTGTCACCACCAGTCGTGGATCTGTCACTCGGCATGGAATTGTGGTCTCAGCTATTTCCGTGAGAAAGATGAATAGTTCCTCAGGGTCAACAGGGAGGAAGCCCACAGTGGGATCTGCCAAGAATGAGAACAAGAAGAGGGTCAGGGGACTTGGGTTTCTGGCTATCCCTTAAACTGCTGTGTGACCTTGAGCAGATAGTTTCCCGTCACTGGGCCCCAGTCTTCCCATTGCAGAATAAGTATGGTCTCAGAGGTTCCTTCCAGCTTTAACTTCTGATATGGACAGCTCCAGGGTGAGAAAGAAGATAAGACACAAGTTGGATGGAAGCTGATACCTGGAGCTTGGAGAAGAGGGAAGATGGGATGTGGAGACCAAGAGGGAGCATAGTAGAACCAGCTGAGAATGCTGAGTTCTGCAAAACCAGGAATGGGGTGGGCCAGCAGGGAGCAGACAGATATCCAGACCAAGGGGTGGGAGTGAAGATACTCCTAGACTGCCAGGCTGGATTCCATGACTCGTCTGCATTTCTAAGCTGGCTGCATTTCACAGTGTCACTAAAGCACTCTTTGACCATCCCCAGATGCCTGCAATTAAGAAGAGGAGTGAGGGAATGAACACACAGGCCAGGACCCTTACCCGGCACAAAGATGTAGAGTCGTTTCTGCTCACCAGACTCCAGCCCCTGGGAGCCTTTGTAGGTACAAAAGTATTCTCCTGTGTCTATCCCAGTGACATTGGTCAGCGTTAGCATGCTGGAGAAGGTGCCATCCTGGGTCTTGGTGAGTTCCTGCAGGGGCTCCCGGGACAGCCGTTCCCACACCACTGGAGCTGGACCCGAGCAGGTCAGAATGAAGTTGCTGGAGACATTGAGGACCAGCTCTGGCCCTGGGGGTGTGATCACCAGGTCCCTGGAGGCCTGTGCTCCCAGCAGCAACAGCAGGGGTAGAAACAGCACATGGCCTTTGGGAGAAGAGGCATCAGAGATCAGGGCACAGGCACCTTGGCACCCCTCCTCGTGGCTGAGCCTAAGCGAGACCAGACAGGCACAGCCTTTAAAGAGCACACCTCCCTGACCCAAACTCAGACTGGAACCCATGGCTCTGAGGCCTGCTTGCCCAGTACCCCATCACCAGGGACTCCTCCTAGCCTCCTGGCCTCCGATCTCCGTGCCTGAAGACCCCCAGCCTTGGGGTCCTTCAGCAGCGCTGCATTCAGGCTCATGAAGAGAACTCTCACATTCTCATGAAGGCTTCAGGATATCCTCGGGAAGCAATCTCAGGCCTCCAGTTCCTGCATTACTTTCCAGGTCACTTTCTGAGCCTCTTCCCTGCATTGCCGCAGCTGCCCAGGCTCTGCCTGAAGCCTGGAGGTGGCCCTACTTGGGGAAGGTGGGACAAGGTAGCTCAGAGTGGGGCAGACTGGGAAGCGGGGATGCTGAGGCCCCTGGGGGGTAGGGTGACTAGTGTGAGGGGTGCCAAGTGGTTGGCTCCACTCCCCTGCTGCCATCCCCTGGGGAAGGATTCTGTAAGCCACCCCCAGGCCAGCATGTGCTCAGCCAGCCAGTCAGTCATCCATGGGTTGGCCATTGGCTGGTCATTGATTGTTAATGACCACTGATTGCTTGGCTAGCTGCCCAGTCCCTGGAGAGCTGGCTTCCTGTAATGGGCAGGAGTGAGGGAAGGGTGTGCTGAGAGGGCCACAACCAGGACTTGGGAGCTCACAGCCAATGAGGGGTCCAGGCAGCAGCGGGAATCCAGACTAATACCTATGAGTGTTGAGAGGAAATGGGAGGCCGGGGTGACTGTTAATGAGCGAGGTGGGGACAGCTGGTGCTGGAGCATGGGATGGGGAGGACCGAGCAAAGGGCTCTGTACCCACAGGGGCCCACTGAGATCTCCGAGCTGAAGAGACAGCAGGGGATGGAGGCCTCTATTGAGCCTCATGGGAAAGGCAGGAACTGAGGCTCAAGAGCATAGCAGTGCCCTGGGCTCCCAGACACCCGTGCTAGCATTCACCACACTCCTGCTGGTTCCAGGTCCCACTTAGTAGCTCCCCAGGCTGCCCTACCCCTGCCTGCTGTCTACCTACCTTTGAGGAGAAGGGCTGGCATGGCACCCGGAAGCTGCGTGGTCTCCTGCAGAATTGAACAGGGGTCAGGGGTGAGGGCCTAGGGAGAGTAGAGGCAGGGCCAGGGCCCTTTTTGCACCTGCAAGGTAAGCCTCAGCCCTGGCTCTCCAGCCTCTGTGTTCATGGGGCTGAACCCGAAAGTTATCCTCATCCAGGAAGGCACTCATGCCCACAGATTCTCCCCCTGCCCTGGGCACCGCCTCAGGGGCCTGACCGTGCTTTGGCCCTGCCTCTATGTCTCCAGTGCCTTAGCTGAGCCCCCGCCTCTCTCCGGGCCCTACTTCCTCCATGTGTACAGTGGAGGCAGGGGACTTGGGCTGGATGTTGTCCAGGGGCCCACCAGCTCTAACAGCCTGTCCTCTGGGTGACAGTTCCAATACCAGGCTCCTATCTGCCAGGACAAATATTTGGGGAAGTGTGATGAAAAGCCTGGGGGAGCAAGAGGGGATGAGCCAGAACCCAGAAGCTCCCACAGCTTCACGAGACAACAGGAAGTGGAGGTGGCTGTGGGAAGGAAAGCAGGGGAGTCAGGGCTACGGAATGTGGAGGGCACCCCATGCCTGCCCCTTTACTCAGCCCAGGCTGCAAGGAGGCCCCGAGGACAGGGGCTATGGGCTGGGAAGGCGCCACCACCCAGCAAGTCTTCAAAAGTCCTTGGAGAATAGCCAACCCCCACCCCCACCCCCAACCCCCAGTGTCCAGACAGGGAAACCAAGGCTCTGGGAGGGTAAGAACTTTGTCCAGGCTTACACAGCACAGCTTGTCCACGAGGGAGGCAAAGAGACCTGGAATGATACAGGTAGCAAGAGACAAGCATGGAGACAGAAAGGGAGGAGGCTCAGTGGTGGAGGCCGCGGGAGACAGGTGCGGGCACACAGAGAGGAGACAGGCTGCGCTGGCTGGTCTCTGCTCTGTCCTTGCCCTTGGCGGCCCCATCTGAGGCTCCTAGGTAACCGTCAGTGGCCAGGCACGGGCAGGAAGGAGGCCAGAAGCAGGCAGGGGTCAGAGAGCAAGGAACGTGGGAAGGCACCATGCGACAAGGCGACAGGAACCTCCTCGGGCTTTGGGTCTGCTGACTTCCCTGAGTGGCTGCTGGCCTGGCCCAGCTCCTAAGGGAACGCCCAGCTGTCCCCCAACTACACCACCCATGTCACCCATCTACTTTCCAATCCAGGGCCAGGGTCTGTGTTTGAGCCCCAGCAGGCTATGTCCTGTGCCATGGGCCTCAGGGGCCTCAGTCCCCACCTTATAGAATGGGATGATCTGAGCGCACCCCTTACTGGGCAGTGATCACACATCAGCAGCAGGACAGACGCAAGCCTGTGGACCCCCTCTTGGCCTTGCCCAGCTCCCCAAGAAGCTCTCTGAGCAAATCTGTTCTTCACTTCCTCCTCTTCCCCATCCCTTAGACCTGTCTGCTGGAAGGTCCCCTCCTTTCTCCCCTCTCTCAGACTCAGAGCCCAGTCCTTCTGATGCCCCCTCCACAGCACCCCATTCCCATCCCTCCTGCCCCAGCCCCTCCAGCTGGATGCCAGGACTCCTCTAGCAGCAAGGGGCAGTGCCGTGGCAGAGCCAGCAGCCCCCACAGAGGCCCATCTGCCCTTCAGTGGGTGCCCCTCTGGCTCCCCTCTTCCTGCCAAAGATCTCAGCCAAAGAAAACCATTAGCAGCCCAGGCTAGGGGAGGGGGTCACTTCAGTCTCCCTGCCCCTCCCCTCCCTGCCTCCCTGGCTGGCCACACTGTTTATTATTCTAAAGGAGGAATTTGGTCGGCTGGCCTGGAGATGGGAGGTCACTGCAACTGGGGCTGGCCTGGCTCTGGAAGGCTGGGCCATGTGGGCTGGGACCCTAGGGCAAGCAGGCCCCCACCCTGGCCCCTCTCCAGCTCAGCCTGTGATTGGGGGTGGCTGAGAGTCTCTGAAACTCTGAACTGGGAGAGGCCTTCTTAAACAGACAGCGGAGACTCAGAGAGGGACAGAATCATAGCCCAGTAACACAGCAAAAAGGCAGAATCAGGCTGAGGAGAGGACAGGCTGTGCAAAATATCCAAAAAGGAGAGGATACTCTGTGCAAAGTAGCTCAGGAAGAGTGTAAATGCCCTGGGGACCTTGGATCGGCTTCTCTCTTCATGAAATGAGCATTCTGGCTGCAGCCACAAGGGGCCTCAGACTCACCGTGAGACTGAGCAAGTTTCCTTCCTCTCTGAGACTCAGTTTCTCCATTCATACAGGGAGAGCTTCAGATGGGTCATTTCAGAGAGCTGCCCCTATTCGAAAACTGCCATTTGGGCCAGAAAGAAGATTCTAGTCACTGTTATTCCCCGTGGGGTAGTTTGGGGGAAGTGGGGCTGCTGAGAAGAAGAGGCTGCATTCCTGAGGCTGGAGTCACCTGGGAATCCATAACCCATCTCAATCTTTGGATTGAATTTCCCTGACCATTTGGCCACCCATGGGCTGTGTAGACTTTGACAAGTTGTTTCCCTCTCTGTGCTTCAGTTTCCCCATCTATACAATTAAGGGTTAGACAATGGTCTTTTAAAGGGCTTTCAAACAAAGGGACTGGTGACACGGCAGCCCAGGAGACTGCAAGGGGAGGGTGGCGTGTGAGCCAGAGGACAATAGGCCAGAGCACAGGGAAGGCCCAGAGTGAGGTCCTGACCTCCCCTGGTTGTCTGCCCAAGACCTTATGGAGCTCTTTGAGCTTCCCAGAAGCTGCTGTGCTCCCATTGAGCCCAGAGAGGCCTAGGCGCCGGTCTGGAGGTAGTGGGCTTGCCTGTGAGAGCTTCCCTTTCTCAAGAGGAGGGCTAGGCTTCCGGGAGGGGCCAGCTGGGGGAGGCAGGGGCACAGGGCCACAGGCAGGGGCAGGTGCCCTCCTACCTGCCTCACTCTCCTGCCTGGGGAGCCCCTGGAGCAGAAAGAGGGAAGAGACTCTCAGGGGTCCTCTTTTACCCAAGGGGAGAGTGCTGCATGCTGGAAAGCCCTCATAATTCGTGCTATTTCAGCCAGGTTGGGGGGACAGAGGTCTAGAGATGGGGTTATTGCCCAGCTCCTCACAGTGCATCAAAAGGACCCCTTTAGGAACCGCGTGAGGATCCCAAGTCCACGGGAGGGGGTCATTCTCAGATCCCCAGCCTTCCCTCCTTCCAGCTCATACAAATCTCCACTTCTTTCCCACCACCTTCATCTAAATAAATCCAGTCCATCTTGGCCACATCCGCCAGCAGCAGCTTCCCTCCCTCGGGGTCCTGAGGCTCCCACGACACAGGCAGGCCAGGGAGGGGGGCCTACACGGCTGCCAGTGGGGGAGGCTGCACATGGTGAGCATGTGCACACACAGTACAGATTCCTGCCTACGCACTCGCTCACACACTGCTCTGAAACATATCCATGGGCAGTGCACCATGTGAGCGCCCACCCCTCATGCAGGCACTCAACATGTGCCTGCCCAAACAAAACACGCATGCATGCAGCTCCCACTGTGCCCAGCACACGTGTACACAGCACAGACCACCACCCATGTGCTGTGCGAGGTGCACCCATGTGCCACAAACCAGGTACCCAGCACAAGCAAAGCCGTGTACATACATGTGCACAAGGGACCCCAAACACACCTGAACACACATCCACAACACCTGAACACAAGTCAACGTGCATTGTGCATTTGCTGTTCCAACTGATGTTCTGAGCACTTGACATGTATCAACTCACGGGCTCCTCAGCCAACTCCACAAGGTAGATACAGGATCATTCCCATTTTAGATGGGGAAACTGAGGCAGAGAGCACCTAAGGAACTTGCCTAGGAATGCAGAGTAGAGATTGAGCCAAGGTGGAGTACTCCATAGCACCCCTACCACCAACTTCTCTGTTTACTGGGTTTGGGTTGGGGGAGGGCAGTGGGTTCGAGCTTTATCTAACTGAGAACTGACAGGACTTGGTGATTACATGCTGGGGGGCTGGAGTGAGATGTATCATAAATGACTGCACCCCTATTTCTAGCCTGGAGCCCCAGGGGGGCAGGAGTATGTGTGTGTGCTGGGGACATAATGCCATTTGCTGAGATGAGGATGAGACCTGCCTGAGCTGAGCTGGGTTGGGATCTGGAGGGGACTGTGGGCATTTGAGTGGACAGACAGACCCTCAGCCCATAGGCAGGGAACAGGCTGAGCAGAAACAGCAGCAAGATGGGGATGGGAGGAAGCCCTGTTGTGGGACAGTTTGGGGGTGTCCTTGAGACAGGCAGTCTCAGCCCTTAGGAGGCTTTGAATAACCAGGACACCAGAGAGAGGAGTAGGCCTGGCCACTGGGCCTCAGGGTTAGAGCTGAAATGACAGAGCTCCAGTCCCCAGTGGTCACCCGTCTGATCCAACCCTCTTCCTGTGTGCCATTGTACAGGCAGGAAGCCAAGTTTTAGAGAAGGAGAGGGACAGCTCTCAGGGTTCTGACCTACAAGCTGGGTGCTCAGGTGGCCATGGGGCCCTGAAGCTCACCTCAGATAGGAGGCTGGTGGCTCAAGCCCCAGAGTTCAGAACACAATTGCTGCCCAGGCCATCCCCAAAGCACACCAGACCTGCAGTCAAAGTCACTTTCCCTGGTGCACGCCAGGCAGGGATTGGAGGCTGAGACTCAGAGGACATGACTTGCTAAGTTGTTATAAAAGTGGGACACAGACCCCAGTCTGCTGCCTGGCAGTCTCGTCCTCTTTCCTCTGTACCAAGGGCACTTCATAGCCCCTGGGACAAACTTCAAGGGCAGATCCCTGGCTGGCAGTAAGGGGTGTTGTTCCTAGCCCCAGCTCTGTCACCCAGCTCTAGTACAGTCTCTCCCCTCCTTGAGCTTCAGTCTCCCCATCTGTACTCAGGGTGGGGAGGGCTGTCCTGGGTGCACTCCCAGAGCTGGCATGCTATGGCCCTCAGGACTGTGCTCTGGGAAGCAGCTGTGCTGG